TTAAGGAATTTTATTTAAGAACTAAAAACTTTGATTTTTTAAAGGACCAAAATAAAGATTTTTTCATTGACAAAATGTTTTGCGGCTTTGTCCATTAAAAATTCTAACTCTTTCGAGGACTTAAAATATGAGCTTTTATAGAACTTTTTAGAAATGTTTTTTCAAAGACCAAAAATAAAAAAAATTTCAATGATTTGTTTCATGAATATAAATCGAGGATTTAAGGAATTTTATTTAAGGACTAAAAACTTTGATTTCTTAAGGATCAGAATTAGGATTTTTCATGGACAGAAAATGTTGCTAAAAAGCTTAAGGATCCAAAGACATGAGCTCTAAAAAAGGGTTCCAAGAATCCAAAGGAGTGATTTTTTGAAAAGTTTCGATAAACCGAAAATGTAGGCTTAAAAAATTATCAAGGCTTTTTATACCCTCAGCCATATGGCTAGAGAGGGTATAAATAATTTGATACGGCCCAAACGTGAATCATCGAAATGACGGTTTTAAGGGCATTTGGAGTCGATCTAGGGACTTTATTAACCCAATATCTGGTGTGAAGATGGAATATATCGGTCGACTCCTTGTGGCACCTCCCTCACAAAGGGATCAAAATGTTCAATAATCATTAAGCTCATAAAACGCGACATTAACATCCGATTCCAGATTCAGACTTGGTACATCTCAAAATTTCCATCCACATGAGATCTGTTATAAAGATGGTAGATATGGGACCATTCCTTATGGTACCTCCCCCACAAAGGATTAATGTTTTGAATAACCAAAACGATTAAAAAATCCCAAATAAGCATCCGGTTCTTCACATAGGGTCCAAGATTTTGAAAATCAACTCACTTCAAATTTCACACAAGATATGTTATGAAAATGATAGATATCTGACAACCCCTTCTGGGTTAGATATCTGCCAACCTGTAATCCCATACACCAAATAATCAAAAAATAATAAAAAAATAATTTAAAAAAATGGATCCAAAAATCTGCAAACGTATCTTCAAGAATCGCTGGAAAAAAATTTCTAAGATTGCAAACATGTGGATTCAAAAAAGTTTAAAGATGAAGAAAGTCCAAAAAGCTCCAAAAAAACATTTTAAATGTCCCATAGGTAAAAAAAAAAATTGACAAAAAAGACCATAAATCCCAAAATATTGAAGAATTTAAAATAATTTCAAAAATCACAAAAAATGCATTAAAAATGTGTCGTGGATCCTAAAATGTGGATTTTGCAATGACCTCAAGAAAATAGAAAAAATAAATCCCAAGGATCCAAAAGCGTGATTAAAAAAAAAAAGTTTTGGAAATCCAACAAGTAAAAAAAGGGCCGAACTTTTAATACTCTCCACAATTCGGAAAGAATTTGAAAAATTCCCAAAAAAATTCTGAAAACTTCCACTTAAATGAAAACTTTTATAGGGAAACTATACGAAGACCCGTTTTTTTTTTTGTCATCGCCTATAGTACCCATTACGAACTTCAAATACGAAATTTAAAACAGTGCCAATTATTAATATATCGAATATCGGAAGGTACCGTTATATGGGGGCTATACGAAGTCGTGGACCTGCACAGACAATCTTCTGTCTTAGGCTGCAGAATATATTTCGAACTTTAAATACTAAATTTGAAACAATTCCGGTGAATAATGTCGCTAAAATCATCAAAATACCGAATATCGGGAGGTACCGTACATTTGTGTAGAATTTTATCAATCTATTTGATTTCGTTCGGAAGCTAGAGTGATTTCCACAGACGGACGGAAATCGTAAAATCGACATAGAATTTTATGCTGAATTAGAATATTGATACTTTTTGGGGTCTAAAATGTATATTTCGAGGTGTTACAAACGGAATGACAAATTGAATATACCCTCCATACTATGGTGGAGGGTATAAAAATGATTTTAATGGAAGTTTTTAGATTAATTGCTTTTCAATGACTAAAACGATTTTTTTTTATTTTTAGGTATTTTTAGGTATTTTTGACAATAAAACATGGATATTTAGGAATTGTTGTTAATTTTTAAAGACTAAAACTTAATTATTTATCGATTTATTTTTGAAGAGAAAATTGTGAATTTTTAAGGACTAACAATTATGTTTTTTTCCAGAAGAATTATTTTTAGGAATTTTTTTTTTTTGGGAAAAAAGTTGGAGATTTAGGTATGGTGTGAAGATGATAGATATCGGCCCACCCCTTCTGGTACCTGCCCCACATAGGGTCACAATTTTCAATATTTATATGTCTAATAACATGCGAAACAAATGCAATCCCTTTCAAACGCGGAATACCTAATAATTCTCTCAACCAGAGATCTAATGTGAATACCGGCTCACCCATTCTGGTGAATTCCCCAAAAAAAATCCTAAAATGTTGATTACGAATTATTCGCATTAAAAAACGAAATAAGTGTTCGATTTTCTTTTAATTTTCTGCATTCCAATATTTTTATCACCAAAAAAAAAGAAAGGAAGTAGTCGATAAAATCCAAATCTGACTTGTTGTAATATTCATATCATCCTTTGGTCAAATATGAAGTGGACAATATTGGGCCATTTCATTGGAACCTATATACCATAAGGTTCAATAAGGACTAAAAATGCAGATTTTTAAGAAAAATTGTCGAAGGCTAAAAACGCAAGCACTAAAACTTGATTTTAACATTTTTTTAAGTAAAACAAGGGGATTTTTTTTCAAACCCCGCAAAATTTTTAATTTTTTCTAGATTTAAAAAAAGTGGGAAACATTTATCTTAAGGATTAAAGGCATAGATTTTATGAAATTTTCAAAATAAAAACGTGGGTCCGTAAATAATTTTTTCAAAGACGAAAAATTGTGTGTTTTCTGTGGATTTCTTTTCAGCACATTCAATTCCAAATAATTTTTGCATGGAAATAAATTGAATTCTAACAAAAAAAATTTAAAACGTTACAAAATATTCATTTTTAATAGTATTTTTCAAGGAATTAAACGTGAATAAAAGTTTTTTTCAATGACTTAAACCCAAAATTTTATATTTTTTCTTTGAAGTGCTATTAACTAGTATTTCTAAGGAATTTATCTCAAGGCCAAAAACTCGAATTTTAATTTATTTTTCGTGGACATAAAAATTTGATTCTAAGAGTTGTTTCAAGTATAAAAACTTTAATTTTAGGCAAAGAGTTTAAGATTTCTAAATTATTTCTTTGTAGTTATTGAAAATTTGAAGGCATATCGTGGAATTATAATTATTTCTTTAAAGGGCTAAAAGCGTCAGTTTTTAAAGTTTTTTTTACAAGAACTATATTTTAAAGGATTTGTTTAAAGGATTCAATTCCTGGCTTAAGGATTTTTATTAAGTATAATAATTTTATGATAAAAATTAAGCCCCAAGAAATTTTTTAAGGACCAACAATTGAAATCTTAGAAAGTTTTTCAAGCGGTAAAATCGTGGAAAAAAATATCAAGGACTAAAAAAGTGTTTTTATTTTAAGAAAATGTTTAAGGACCAAAAAAGTGTATTTTTGATTAATTTTTTCCAAGATTTTTAGACACATACATATTTCTGATCAGCATACAATTCTGTGTCGATTTAACAATGTCCGTCTGTGGAAATTACACTAGCTTCCGAACGAATTGAAATAGATTGATAAAACTTATGGTATTCACCGTTTAAAATTTCGTATTGAAGTAGGTTCTACAATCAAATCTATGACAGAAAATTGTCTATGCTGGTCCAGGTCTTCGTATAGCCCCCATGTATATAATCGGCATTTTGATTATTCACGGGAATTGTGTAAAATGTCGTATTTGAAGTTTGCAATGGCTACTACAGTCTATGACAGAACATTGCATATGCAGGTCCAGGTCTTTGTATTGCCACCATATAACCATACCTCACTATATTCGGTATTTTGATGATTTTAGCTACATTATCCTCCGAAATTGTTTCTAATTTCGATAACTTCGTAATAGGTACTACAGTCTGTGACAGACAATTGCCTATGCAGGTCCATGTCTTCGTATATGTAGACTGGGGGTCTAAATAAATATTGAAGAATACTATTTAAGGATCAAATTTGTTTGTTTTTTGTGCGGTTTAGAAATCGTAGAATCGTAGATTTCCTAAACGATTAAATATTGCACATTAGAAAAATTTTAAATGTTCTGAGAATCTAAAATCGTCCGTTTTATATAATTCATAGGCGTAAGATTTTTAATTTTTTTTTTTTAAATAAATTCCAAGAATTTCAAAACGTGACATTTAAGAAACAACAAAATTTATACAAAAAATTTTCCTGAATCTGAAAATATCCGACTAAAATAAACAAGAAGTAATTTAAAAAAAAATAATGTAATTTTAAAAAATATAGGTTCTAAAAAGGAAATGGAAACCAAAATCTTAAGTTATCAAATGTTTAGAAAATCCAAAAATTTAGGTTTAAAAAATAATCAAGGATTCAAAAAAATGGTACGAATCTTTTTCTAGGGCCAATGTGGATTTCTTGTACAATTTGTTTCTAAAGACTTAAATTTTTGAGACACCATTTTTTAAACTGTCGCATCCCAGATGCTTGGTAAAATCCCAGATGCTTTGAGAAATGTTGTACAGGATAGTCGAAGCAACGTCCTGGATATTTGAATATACATTTTTTTAAACAGTTTTGGTCAGGTTTAATAGCATTATAATTGTTAATATAAAACAATTTCATTTATTAGTGGAAAAAATGTGGAAAATGGTAACTACAGGAGGGTAAGGCAAGTAATGTCTTGTTTTCCGAATTCATTAAATTTTAATTCCAGTAAATTTTACAATTAGTTATATAAATATTTTCGTCTCTCCCCACGGTTATGTGTTTGTTTACCTGAATAAGATCAGCATAATCATATAAGTTGGTTTTGTCTGTTATAACAAAACCCCTTCGTCCCTGCCTTTTCTAAAATTAGAATAATATTGGGATTTTTCCCCAAAGTATTGAAATTTTTCTATAAATAATAAAACCCTCCTTGGTTATGGTATTATGTGAAATTCGTTTGTTTATTAAAATTATAATTTGAGTATTGAAATAAAAAAAAACACAAAAATAGTTATGAATATGAACACAAAAGCACTGACACACAACCTGCCAACGCTGGTTGATGTGTCAGTGCTTTTATTTAAATAATAAAAAAAATATTAAATGACAATGTAGTTGACATAAATGTTTCCAGAAGACAAATGATGATATGGTACATACAATTTATATAAAAACAATCAATTAAAACATTTCTAATAAATAAAAAAAAAATAAAATATGATAGTATTGTTGAAATACAATATAAGTTTTCTAGGAACTCCTTCCAACAGCTCCTAACTAAATTCGTTCGATAAGTTTTTGTTTTTTTCTTTTACTAATTTTTAGAACGAAGTATGGATTTTAGTAGATTCTCTCCATTTAATGTTGATATTGTGGCTGGTATTGTTGTTTCAAGTTATAGTCCTGAGCCTTAACCGACTGGGCATGGGGACGCAGCAGTCCCTGGTGTTGTTGTGGTGGTGGGGGAGTGGGAATTTTCACAACAATATCTGTGGGTTCACGAATAACCTCAGCCTTGAAACCTTCTTTGGGATCGGCGGTATACTTGACGGTACGAATGAAACCATCCGAATCGACTACGGAGTAACTGCCCTTGATTACACCGCCATCGCGCACCTCTTTGCGATTTTGATAGTTTGTGAATTCATCATCCTTGACATCGAAACCGAATTGGTAGGAAGAGTTTTGCTGGAATGAGAAAGAGAAGGAAATTTTGGGAAATTAAAAAAAAATGTTGGATATGAATCTTAAGATATGGTACGGAGCTACATCCAAATCGGAACCGATCTCGATAAAATTTGCCAAAAAAATTTCTTAGCTGTATTTGATATATTTCCCTGAATATCGTTTTACGGCTGTGGGTAACAAATACAGCAAATCGGATGAACAGTATATATGGCAGCTAAAGCTATATCTGAACCGATCTTCACCAAATTTGACATACTAGCTTCTGGACTCAATTCAGTCGTAAGGGCCAAATTTCATCCAATTTGGGCAAATATTAGACGTTTGGTGCACAATCAAAGGTAAATCGGACAAAGTTATATATGGGAGCTATATCCAAATCTAAACCGATCTCGATAACATTAAGTAAACCTATTTCTGAGCTGTATTTGATATATTTCCCCAAACATTGTTGTTACAGAGTGCATATTACGATTGCGAAGGACAAAAATAACAAATCGGACGAACAATATATATGTGGGAGCTATAGCTATATCTAAACTGATTTCGATCAAATTTGGCATACTTATTCTCAGGTCCAATCTGATTGTACGCACAAAATTCCATACTATTCGGACTGATATTACACGTTTGGTGCACAATAAAAGGCAAATCGGACGAAGATATATATGGGAGCTATATCTAAATTTTTACCGATTATCTCCAATTTCAATAGGGTTCGTCCTTGGGCCAAACAAATGTTTTGTGCAAAATTTTATCTGGATAGGGCAATAAATGCGTACAGTTCGCATGTTTACAAAAATACATGGACAGATGGAAACCCACTTCAGACTGCTGTCATTTCTGAGCCACTCATCCGACAGTTGTTAAAATTATTCCAGTGACAGCCCATTATATTGTTTACAAGCGTACAAAAGCATTTGGGGGAGATTTTTCCAGAAAAAGTTATTCGTGATGGAATTCAAGCGTGATAGTGTGATTTCTTTATATTTGGCTGGAGAACCACAAGTGGCTATCGTTAGAGCACTCCAGCATCAGCATTTAAATGTGAATAAATCTTTTGTGTCTCGTACCATCGCTCGTTGCCGTGATACTGGTACTGGTAGCCCGATGTCAGGGAAGTGGACGAAAGAAAACAGCAACATCAGCAGCAGAAATGGTTCGAAAAGTAAAGAAGCGACTTGATCGAAAACCGCGTCGCCGTGGCCGAAAAATTGCCTCGTGAGCTAAACATATCGCAATATTCCATTCGGCAAATATTGGAAAATGAGCTCGGGGTAAAGCCATTGAAATTTCAAAAAGTGCAAGAACTTACACCGCAACCCAGAAAGAAAATAGACTCAAAAGAGCTAAAGAGTTGCTTCGCTTGGCCGAAAGTGGTGGACAGCCGAATTTGGTTTTCTCCGTCTCCGTTGAGAAAACATTCGTTGTCCAGCAGTTTGTAAACAAGCAAAATGATCGGGTTTCTACTTGCCTAAGATCAGGTCAGCTAAAAATGTGCACCTTCGGTTGGCCACCAGAACTGAAGCGCCGGCGCCGATCATGGTGATGGTGTGAGTCGCCATATCAGCCGATGGTCGCTCTCCGCTCGTATTAATCGACCATGGCATCAGAATAATAGCCGAATATTATCGCGAAAATATTCTGGAGGGTGTATTAAAGCCTTATAATTGTGTGAAAATGTGCAGCTTCGATTGGCCACCAGAACTCAAGCACCGGCCATGGTGATGGTGGTGGATGGCCGCCATAACAGCCGATGGTCGCTCTCCGCTTGTATTAATCGACCGTGGCATCAGAATAAATTACGAATATTATAGCGAAAATATTCTGAAGGGTGTATTAAAGCCTTGGACACGCAAACATTTTGGCCGCAGACCTTGGACATTCCCACAGCACTCAGCACCATCACACTCAGCACGCGTTATCCAAGAATGCTTACAAAATGAGGTTCCTCGCTTCATTTCCAGCGCACAATGGCCACCAAAATCTCCGGATCTTCAATCCGTTGGACTATTGTGTCTGGAGTATTTTGGAAAGCATGGTTGGCACTAAAAAATACCAAAGTGTCGTCGATCACCTCAAGCAAGCGCTTCGTCGGGAATGGGCCAAAATACCGCAGGGCAACATTCGGGCAGCGTGTGACGGCTTCATTGGCCGCTTGAAAGCCATAATTTATGCCAAAGGTCCGATATATCTATTGCTCCTATAAATATTTTTATATCCTCCACCATAGTATGTAGGGTATATTAACTTTGTCATTCCGTTTGTAACACCTCGAAATATATATTTTAGACCCCACAAAATATATATATTCTTGATCAGCATAAAATTCTAAGTCGATTTAGCTGTGTCCGTCCGTCTGTCCGTCTGTGGAAATCACTCTAGCTTCCGAACGAGTTGAAGTAGATAGATAAAATTTGATTCAAATGTATATTATGTCTGCAGGACTTTTGGTATTGAAAATGGCCCATGTAGGTTCACGTTTCGGTATAGCCCCCATATAACGGTACCTCCCGATATTCGGTATTTAAATGATTTGGCGACATTATTCGCCGGAATTGTTTCAAATTAAGACAGAAAATTCTCTGTGCAGGGCCTCGTCTTCATATAGCCCCCATATAACGGTACCTCCCGATATTCGGTATTTTGATGATTTTAGAGTCATTATTCACCGGAGAAGTTTCAAATTTAGTATTTGAAGTTCGTATTGGATACTACAGCCTATGACAGAAAATTGTCCGTGCAGGTCCACGTCTTCGCATAGCCCTCATATAGCTGTATCTCCCGATGTTCGGTGTTTTGATGATTTTAGCGACACTATTCACCGGTATTGTTTTAAATTTGGCATTTGAAGTTCGTAATGGATACTACATCCTATGACAGAAAGTTGTCTGTGCTTGTCCACGTTTTCGTATAGCCCCCCATATAACGGTACCTCCCTATATTCCGTATTTTGATGATTCTGGCGACATTGTTCGCCGGAATTGTTTCAAATTTGGTATTTGAAGTTCGTAATGGATGCTACAGCTTATGACAGAAAATTATCCGTGCAGGTCCACGTCTTCGTTTAGCCCCCATATAGCGGTAACTCCCAATATTCGGTACTTTGTTGATTGTAGCGACATTATTAACCGGAATTCTTTCAAATTTGGTATTTGAAGTTCGTAATGGATGCTACAGCCTGTGACAGAAAATTGTCTGTGCAGGTCCACGTCTTCATATGGCCCCCAGACAACGGTACCTCCCGATATTCGATATTTTGATGATTTTAGCGACATTATTTACCGGAATATTTTCAAATTTAGTATTTGAAGTTCGTATTGGATACTACAGCCTATGACAGAAAATTGTCTGTGTAGATCCACGTCTTCGAATAGCCCCCATATAGCAGTACCTCCCGATATTCGGTATTTTGATGATTTTAGCGATGTTATTCACTGGAATTGTTTCAAATTTGTTTTTTGAAGTTCGTAATGAATACTACAGCCTATGACAGAAAATTGTCTGTGCAGATCTACGTCTTAGTATAGCCCCCATGTAACGGTACCTCCGGATATTCGATTCTTTGTTCATTTTAGCGACACTATTCATCGGAATTTTTTCAAATTTGACATTTGAAGTTTGAATGGATGCAACAGCCTGTGACAGAAAATTGTCTATGCAGGTCCAGGTCTTCGCATAGCTCCCACATAACTGTACCTCTCGATATTCGGTATTTTGTTGATTGTAGCGACATTATTCACCGGAATTGTTTCCAATTTCGTATTTGAAGTTCGTAATGGATACTACAGCCTATGACAGAAAATTGTCTGTGCAGATACACGTCTTCGTACCTCCCTATATTCGGTATTTTGACGATTTTAGGTACAATACCCACCGAAATTATTTGAGTTGTCGTATTTGAAGTTCGTATTGGATGCTACAGCCTGTGACAGAAAATTGTCTATGCTGGTCCCCATTTCCCCAAATATGGTATTTGAAGTTCGAGGTGGATACTACAGCCTATGACAGAAAATTGTCTGTGTAGGTCCACGTCTTCGTATAGCCCCCATATATCGGTACCTCCGGATATTCGGTTCTTTGTTGATTTTAGCGACATTATTCACCAGAATTCTTTCAAATTTCGCATTTGAAGTTCATAATGGATGCAACAGCCTGTGACAGAAAATTGTCTATGCAGGTCCAGGTCTTCGCACAGCTCAGACATAACGGTACCTCCCTATATACGGTATTATGATATTCACCATTTATTTCAAGTTTCGGGTTTGAATATGGTAATGGCTTATGACAAACAATGCGTATATAAGTCGTTAGACCCCAGTATGACGGCTACATTCGGTATTTTTAAAATCTTAACAGAATTATTTGAGGATTTTATTTTTTTTAAATTTTCAAATTCGTTCCAAATGGTGGAGGGTATTCAAAGTTCGGCCTGGCCGAACTTACAGCTTTTCTACTTGTTTTTTCTTTTTTTTTTTGTTACAGGAGATCTACTATATAAGCATGTTGGTGTAGGGTATCATAGTCGGCCCGCCCTACTTTTGACCTTTCTTTATTGTTTTTTATTTTTTTTTTATTTATTCAAATTTTTGAGAGACATCAGTTGGATGTACCTGAAATCCTTGTTTCTGATGACATAATTTGACTTAAATAGCCAATACAATCCACAAACTGTATAATCCGGTGACAAATTACCACTATCAAATTCCCCAAGGCGTTCCATTACCATTTACTTTATTTTTGCCCAGCTCTCATTTCAGCGGACTGTCATACAATTATGTCACAACGTCCAACCAGATGGTCATTTGGCCATAAAAAAGCTATTGATTTCGTTTTCGTTTCTGGTCGTCGCTAGTCATGTCCGTTTAATGTTGCCAATGTTCCGGTAATTGTGAATAGAAAGTAAACGCATTAATAAAAAAAGAGGGCGTTGCTTCAAGTGACTGACACACATGGCAGGCACACACATACTCACTCTCATACATGTATGAATATGTATGAGA